TTGTAGAAACAAATTTATTCTTACTGATTAAAACAGTTACAAAACTAATGACACTACAAATACTATACTACACAGAATCAGAAATATTTGCCCTTGTAATTCATTTATGAGTTGAGTAGCCAGATCCAGTATGAGATGCTGTGGTGAGTCAGGGAGATTACATTTCATTATCAGTTCAGTCCTGCATGAGTCAATAAAACTGTCTTCCACGTCACAACAAACTCCCATATCACTTCAACCAAACTGCAACTGTCATTGTAGATGAATTATCCGCTCTTAAATACAACACATCTGTCAGCCCAGACCTGGGTTCCATGAACCTTATTTAATATGATTCATAGTGATCAGGATTATGAACAAACTATATTAGGTTGGTTGGAGTATGAAGAAGAAAGTAATGCTGATGAACGTGAAGATTTTGTATTTCTGAAGTGATCATGGTCCACTTTCTGGAGTGAGTTATAATAAGCAAGCTTTGAGCAATGTTGAAAAAGAACATACCAGTTGCTGTTAAGGCTGAATGTTATTCAATCAAATTATACTGTTCCCAGCAATATTTCTGGGAAAAAAAAACAAGTTCTGATAGTTGTCAGAAAAGGTTCTCAATCTATCAGGTTGGTGCACCCATTTGTTAAGCCTTTTTTATTTTCCAGTCTGATGCAAATGTCAAATTGTTGAATGATCAACATTTAGTTCTTCTGCAACCTCCCGAGTTGTTTTTGATGGATCCGCTTCAATAATAGCCCTCAATTGGTTGTCGTCAATCGCAGAAGGACGTCCGCGACCCTCCTCACCTTCAAAGCTCTTGTCTACATTATGAAATTTTTTAACAAATGTTGAGCTGTACGTTCGTTGACGTTACCCTGGCCAAATGCTTAGTTGATATTGCTAGTAGTTTCCGCTGCTTTGCGTCCCATTTTTAACTCGTACAATAAAATCGCTCGACTTTGCTGTTTACCCATATTTCACTTGACAGCATAAAATAAGCCAGAATAAACAGGGAAAACAAAACCTTTAGAATAAATCACTAGAACAAATTCGCGCCTCAAAATGGTATATTACAATAACATAGTTAAATGAAAGTTTATTCCAAAACAAGCATGAAAGTATAAAGTAACAAAATCCGCAATTACGTTTGCACCAACCCAATAGAAATGGGCATCAAAGCACTGAAAAATCTTCCTGGTCTGAGTCCTATCCGTGTTACATAATGTAGTATACACCATGTCTAAAAAAATCCTCAGATGAAACTTGCACATTTCATACTGCTCTGTTTTCTACTACCAATCAATTTCATTATGATTTGCCATCACAAAAATTATAGAGTTCACTTCGAACTTCATGTGCTTAGCGGTTTATATTTAAATTGAAATGACTATTTACGCAAATATAATTTACCTTACAAATTATTTTGATGTTTACTTCCCACACTACTTTTAATTAAAATCCATTGAATAGTCTATTGTAATTTCGAAGATAACATACGCGATAAACAGATGCAAACGACCTCCCCATTATGCGATCATTTTACTCACTTTTTTAAAATACAAAACGGGTCTCCTTTGAACGAGAATAGTAACACGGTCACGACACGGGTAAATTCCTAATTTTGCCAAGGTCTTATTTCCCTTACTCCCTTTCTATTCGTTTACCTGGTTCATTCGGCAGTGCTACCATCGCGCAACTCGGAAATTACATATAGAGACGTTGGTGGCCATGGGATCGGAACCGGATATTGCAATATTGTGCTAATTCCTATTGGTCAGAGGAAAGAGAGAAACTAAGGTCATTGATTGGTTAATACACCATTTAAATTACAGTTGGCGAAATTGCTTGTTTTAAATTGCTGAACCTGTAACGGTGATCTGTTGATCCGTGGTTTTAATAATGGCTCAGAACATTAACCCACTTGGGACCGCTTCAACGACTGTTACAAAGACAGATGAAGAAACACACAATCCTTCTCAGGATAATCATGCTGTAACAAAAAGGCAGGTATTATTTGCTTGCAGTAGATAAACCAATGAAAGATGGCCCTCAATTAGAAATCTTTCACCCAGCGGCTCTTTATGAAAATGATTTAAAATAGTTGAGAGTTATTTTCATGAATGAAAATTGCATTATAATTCTACAGAAACAGGATTTTTTAAATGTATAGTAATTATTATCAATTTTAAGATAACGTTTATTTATTAAATGAATGAGTTTAACGCTTTTTCTTTCTAGGTTGCAAAAGGAACTAATGGAATTAATGGTATGTATGGAGTAATTTCAAGTATAGATCGTCGGAAGCAATGTGTATCCATAAGATAAGATGAAATTCTTGCATGATTAAGTTTATTTTTGTATTTCATTATGGTATGTAATCCAGCATTATTTCTTCGTGGCAGTGATGAAATAGTCTTACCATTTTGCTTTTTGCACTAGTGTGTACATAAGGTAGCATTATTGCATTATGCAATTCTTGATAGTATGCCAGTTTAAAATATGGATACCAGGTTGGTAATGTGTTAAATGGCTGTGCTGATGCATATTCTGAGGGTTTTGTGTTATTTCCCAACTGTTCACTTTCATTACTACTGAATGACTCTAGAGCAGTGCTTCTCAACCGCTGGGCCACAGCCCAGTAGTGGGCCCTGGCATCAATTATACTGGGCCACGAGAGGCTCTTCTGGAATTTGTCATTTTCATTTTCTAAGCATTTTTCATGAATAAATATTCTGAGGAGAATAATATTTGTGTCGAGAAGCTCAGACACAGAACACCTAAATCTGTGTAGCAAATGTCAGTGACCAAGCCGCATATTTTTAAACATGGAAGTATTCGTGAATGATCGGGAATTTTCAGACATCCAAATCTTTCAACATTCAGGAAAGGCAATACCGCTGTTTATGACCAGTCATAAAAATTGCCTGCAAGCCGATTACAACAATGGGCGGCATATCCTCTGTTCTCAGACCTGAGCGAAATAACATCTGTGTTGCAAATGTCAGTGGCCAATCAACATGGAAGTATAAAGAAAATGTTTCCACTGAAATTGAAAATCAAGGCAGTCTGTATCCGGTTCTCAAATCTAGTGATACTGAATACTGTTTCTTTGCAAGTTCGCATTGCAATGTATAAGTGCTTGTTGCGAAACCTGAGTGATTTAAATTTTAATATGAATAAGACACAGGGGACTTTGTTTAATTTTGGTGTTAAGAAATCTCGTATTGAAGGTGTTTGTGACGCAACAAGTAGTGATTCATCCACCTCAAGCCTACATAGCAATCTCCAGGATGTACAAAATAAAGGGAAAACCACCAGGACACAGAAGAAAAGGTCTGCATCCATTCGTAAGTACATGGACAGCTACTTAAAATTTGGTTTCATACAGTGCCCTAACACTGAACAATTGCCACGACCTCAATGTGTCATTTGTGCTACTGTTCTGGGAAATGAAGCTATGAAGCCATTGCGATTTACCCGACATCTCAACACAAGACATTCCGATCTAGTCAACAAACCCATTGAATTCTTTATGCATAAGAGAGATGCACTTAAAGTAGAAAAGAAAATTACTTGTATTTACCAAGCTTCAACCACTGACACTTCACTTCTGACGGCATCCTATTTAATATCACTACAGATAGCTAAATGTAAAAAACCATATTCCATTGGAGAAGAACTCTGTAAGCCTTCCTTGATCGCTGCTTGTAATGAAATATTAGGCCAGTCTGCGACAAGTAAAATGAAAGATATCCCATTGTCAAATGATACAGTTGGTAGGCAGATATCTGATATGGCAGAAGATAACAGAAACGCAAGTCATTGAGTAAATTAAAAAATCGAAATTGTTTGCATTACAACTGGACAAATCTACAGATATTCAGAACAGCAGCATTTTACTTACGTATGTACGATATATTGACCATGATGAGAGTGACATGAAGGAAGACATTTTAAGTGTTTCTGAATTACCTATGCACACTACCAGCAGTGAAATTTTCAAAGTTTTAAATGGTTTCAATAAAGAGAGAGGTCTCGAATGGAAAAATTGCATTGGAGTTTGCACTGACGACGCTGCCTGTCTTACAGGTAGAAATTCAGGTTTGGTCACTAAAATTCAAGATATGGCGGGCAATAACTTAGCGTCAACGCATAGCTACATTCATAGGCAAAACCTGGCCTCCAAAGAAATGGCACCTGAGCTTAATGAAGTCCTGTCTCAATCTGTTAAGATTATTAATTATATAAAAACAGTGCTTTAAATACAAGACTGTTAAAAGCATTGTGCGATGAAATGGGCTCTGATCATCAAAATCTTCTTTTCCATTCGGAAGTTCATTGGTTGTCCCGCGGTAAAGTTCTCAAGAGGTTATATGAACTCCGAAAGGAAGTTGAGCTCTTTCTAACTGATAAGAAAAGTAACCTGTCCCATTATTTCCAGGATAAGAAATGGGTAGCCAGGCTGGCATATCTCAGCGACATATTTTCTTACATGAACGAGTTGAATTTAAAACTTCAAGGTCCAGATACAACAATATTTAATGCGTGGAACAAGATCGAATCATTCAAAAAGAAACTCAAACTCTGGCTTAATAGGATTGCAGAAGGAAACAATGAAATGTTTCAGTCGTACTCAGATTATATTATGGAAGCATATGATTTCTATTCACAGAATTCATTTTCAGATATTATTGTGAATTACCTAAAGATGTTGTTGTTGTTGTTGTTGTTGTTGTTGTCATTTGAAAAATATTATCCCAAACATGAGGATCCCCAGAGGCAAAGTATGTGGATTGTGAACCCTTTTGTTGATCACAAAGAGACAGCCCTTTCCCATGAAGAAACCCTTCAACTTATTGAATTATCATCGGGCAAAGGACTGGAAAGTACTTTTAATACTATGAGTAATTCGAAATTCTGGATAAGAATGAAAAATGAATATCCAAATTTACATAAAATAGCAGTGAGGTTTCTTCTTTGTTTTTCCACCACATATCTTTGTGAAACTGCATTTTCTATCATGACTGTGCTTAAAACGAAACAGAGGAACTGCTTGCAAATTTCTGACTGTCTCCGTTTGGCTCTCACTTCATTCATCCCAGGATTGATAAACTAACGGACGGCAAACAGAAACAGAAGTCTCACTAGCCTAACTAAAACCTTCCAAAGTCAGTTGTGATAAAACAAACTAAGTTTAACTTTCCAATAACTTATAATTGCTGCGTCTTTAAAATCAAAATATTAATTAGTGTTAAAAGTAGTGTTTAGAATTGAGAGATTCATACATTTTATTTATCAAATTACATACTTCACGTATATAATTATTTGGCGTATGTATGTGATAATAAGTGTTTCGCCGGCAAATTGACATCCTTCTGCTTCTTCCCCTACTCAGCTGACTTCTATGGTGAGTTACAATGCATAAATATTTTTCTCACTGCCATTTTTTACAAACCAACATCATTAAAATCAATTCAGTAATACAGTATTCTATTTTACGCTGAATAACATAAGTTTTTGGTGATCAGCATGGGATATGTCAATGAAAATTAGCACAAATTAATTTAATGATGTTGGTCTGAGGAAACTACAAAATGCTACAAGATTTCATTAGTCCAGTGATTGATAACTAATTTAAATGTAATTTTATGTTTGTCAACGTGCCACACCGTATACATAAGTGTACTAATACTCTTTATGATTATGCTGTAATTAATTACTAATATTACGTTAGCTTAATGCATGAACTTTAACAAAACTGGAAAGGTATTTATGAGTAAATTTGTTGGGATTATGCCCTCGTCTTATAAAAAAAGAACTTACTGAGCCACAGTATCATAAAGGTTGAGAACCACTGCTTGTAGTTCATGTAGAATTTCTTTAAGATAATACATCATAATGCAATTTAAAATGTTCTGTTTTATGTACGTCATTCTGAGTGCTGCTGTTGTCATACAGAGTTGTGAGTTATCTTGAAAAAGCCTGAAGTGAGGTTATGTGTGAGCCTGATGAAAATCATTTAGCCCATCATGTGAAAGAGACAAGCTGCTCATGTTAAATTTTACCATGAATGTTAGGACCCACAGTGCTATCGACAAACCTATAGGCCAACAGATCACAAATGAAATCCACCCAGATCACAGCAGATGCCAGGAATGGTCTATGTTATGTACCAATTCAATGTACCTCCCTAAAGTGTTCATTAACACTTTGAAGGTCCTTGGAAATAGAACTGGTGTGAAACATCATAATCTGAACCTCTAACCCCAGTCTCCAGTGCAAGACGCTTAAAGCTGAAGAAGTAAAGGAATAAGCAACAAGATCTGAATTACCACAAGCAGAAAATTAAAGCATCCTCCTGGATTCTATTTCTTATAGCTTAATTTTATTAAGATTTTGAATTTATGTTTTAATTTTACCTTCTGTTACATTATTTCTTTGCCATAATTCAGCCCAAGTACCATAATATTTGCTGATGACACTTGTGTAACAATTTCTAGTAAGAATTTAGATGATTTCTATATGTCATTGAACAGTGTTCTCTCTCATATGAGTAAATGGTTTGCTGCTAACAAACTGGCCCTGAATCTAGATAAAAGAAATATAATAAAATTTCTGACAAATAATACACCTCAATATCCATTAAGCATTGGATATAATAATAAATATATAGAAGAGTCAGTACACACAAAATTCCTTGGCTTACAAATTGATAACCACTTAAACTGGAAATACCATATCGATCAGTTGGTTCCGAAGTTAAGTGAGGCATGTTGTGCAGTAAGAGCTTTGTTACATGTCAGCAACATTGATACACTGAAATCAGTTTATTATGCCTACTTTCACTCTATAATGAAGTATGGAATAATATTTTGGGGTAACTCATCTGACAGCAAAAAGAAAAATTACAAAAGAAAACTATTAAAATCATGGTGGGCATAAAACCTCAAAATTCTTGTAGAGAGCTATTCAAGAGATTACAGATCTTACCTCTTCCATGTGAATATATACTTTCATTATTAAGCTTCATTATAAATAATCAAGAACGTTTTCAGACCAGTTTGGATGTACATAGTGTTAACACAAGAAACAAGCACCATCTCCATGGACCGGTTGCTAACCTGACACGTTTTGAGACCAATTTGGATGTACACAGCGTTAACAAAAGAAACAAACACCATCTCCCTAGACCGGTTGCTAACCTGACATGTTTTCAGAAAAGCTCATATTATTCTGGCATTAACATTTTCAACAATCTACCATCTAGTCTCAAAAGTCTAATGAACGAAAAGGTGGAATTTAAATTAGCACGGAAACGATACTTAAATACACACTCATTCTGCTCTGTTGATGAATTCCTACTGTCTAAAAATGACTCGCCCTTTTAAAAGGTTATGTACATAGGTTGCTATGACAGTACTGACTTATATATATATGTGGATTTTTTTGTGTGTGTCTCACTTGTACTGTATTTATGGCTTTTGTATTTGTATGACTTGTTCCACATCCTACAGTCATTCTGACTTTGGATCTACGAAACATAATGTATGTATGTATGTATGTATGAGGAAATATATATTCTTACAATTCCCTTTTCCTCCTATGATAAAAACCTTGTTGTGGCTTTGAAAGGGCTGTATCCTTGTTCACCATTGCTACTGGACTGAACCAGGCTCTTTCCTTGCTTCCTCCCATGGTTCTGAGTGATCACTTTCTGGCAGCCTGCCTATATAACCCAGTTGATGCCTCATCTTACATGCTTCAACCCTGAAGATGGTGACATTTTCTGCCAAAACACTGGTATGTACCTACAAAATATAACAGTGTCACAACCCTCAAGGCTGCAATCTGAATAATTACCACCTTGAAATCCTCAGAACTTATAATAGATGTCTTGTTGCAAAATCAGTTATTGTCATTACTGTGGATGCAATGTCACATCCTAGATGCCTGTAGATTACATATAGTAATCCTCTGATTTTAATACAGATATTTTTTTTTCCCAGATAAATACGGATAGAAATGTGTCAGCATTTCCTGAAGGAGAAAGTCTATTTAAGTGGATAGGCACTATTTCTGGCCCCAAGGGAACAGTAAGTAGTTCTGATAAATGCCATGTTGTTATAAAGTGGTGTGAACTTGGCATCATTTAAAACCTAAACTTGGCTGAGGAACATTGTGTTATTGATTCCACTTGTTATAGTAAGAGAGTAACTTAGTAAAAGTAAAGGTATCCCTGTAACAGGCCATGGAGGCACACAGGGTTGTGAGATGTTGAGGTTTCTACATTTTCTAGACAATCGGCTCATAGATTGCGGCAAGGTTGTCAGTCCTACGTGTTGGCCGCCCTTTAGCCCCAAGAATATTCCTGGTACTCATTTCTGTTAGAGGCTGAGTCGACCCCAGGGCCATAATGAAGCTGGAAGGATCAGGTCAATTGAAAGAACTCCAATGACCTCATCGGGGCTTGAACCCATGACCATCCGGCTTGTAGCATAGTGCCTCAACCAACTAATCTACTGTGTGCCCCCAAGAGAGTAATTTATAATACAATATGAATGTGCATGAGGATAAAAGATTAGTATTGTTAACATGAATACGGACTCTTCAGTAGTATATTAGTAATAAAATAGAAAAGAGCAGCATTAATTTGATTGTCAGAGGCAGTGGTTGATTAATTGGCTTAAGTTGGCTCAACTGCACAGGTTATTTTCAAATATCAGTAAATTAAACAAATAAACCCTCATTCCTCCACACAAGATATGATTACACCAGTGATGGACACTTACTGAGGTGACCGTTGAGCCTGCATCTATGTTGAAATCCAAGAGCAGGAGTTTCACATTTTTGACTCCCTGTTATCAACATCAGCATGATTACTTTGCATATTTGAGAGATGGGAACAACACTGTGATCTTTCAGTGTAGGATTCTGAAATGATGTGTGATAGATCTGTGAAAACTGTTAAATTTTTAGTGTTATGTTTGTATATAAGAGTGGACTTAACAGCATGGTGACTGGAGGAGAAATTTAGTATAAGTGATAGGTCATTAGAACTTGACATATACCTTTGTATGGTGACCTTTTGTATACATTTGTTGTACTAATTCTCCTACTACTGCTGCTGCTGCTGCTACTGCTAAAGATATTGACTATATTGTCATGGGTTTTTTGTGGTTTTCCTCAGGCAGATGCCAGGGTGACATCTTGAAATAAGTCATGAATGCTTTTCAGATCTTTTCCAGTTCATAATTCATGAACATCCTACCATGTAACATTGTATACTCTGATATACTGACAGGATTGTTAAACAAAGCGTAAGTAAATGTGGAAGCAGTTCTTGTAGTGATGGCAGCAGCAGTGGTAAAGCCTGTGAAATCTGATGCTTCAGAAACCTAAAATTGCCACACCAAGAGCAAATGTTTCAATGCTTTTTAATTTGTATTTTATTTCTATTTTTTGTAGGTGTATGAAGACTTGACTTTCAAATTGAGCTTGGAATTTCCTCACAGTTACCCATTTAGTGCTCCAGTAGTCAAATTCATTACCTCAATCTTTCATCCCAATGTGGATCAATTTGGAAACATCTGTCTTGATATTCTGAAAGAGAAGTGGTCAGCTTTGTATGATGTCCGATCAATTCTCCTATCCATTCAGTCTCTTTTAGGAGGTGAGTTAAGGCTACAGATACATAGCTAGCAGAAAATGTCAAACATGGTAACACAGTGTAGCAACAGGCTTTAGGTGGTCAGTATATGGTATAGGTGGGACGGTCGATTTTGGCCGGTGGATCTCTGATGCTTAGTGGCCTGACGCAAGTCAGCGAGCCTAAGATCAGTGAGCATGCACAGCGACACTATGTTTCCTCAGTAAGAAGGTAGACGTTGAGCTCATAGGATCGCTGTTATTAGTAGATACTGTGTGCTTTTCCCAGTTGCCAGTTGCCATTGCCAGCCTACGAATGTTCTCTCTGCAGACGAAGCAAGTTCATAGCATAGACTTGCTCTCATGCGCCTACAGGGAAGGACACTGGCCAAAAAGTATCGGCAGGCTTATACAGGATCTACCTTGAGCAGATTATAGTTCTTCACCTATCATTCAGTCTCTGCTCTGAAGCTGTTCAGTCCAGTTAACATCTGCACTCCTTGAAGATTGCCATCTCCTGGGATGTGTTGCCATATATTCTGGTAGAGGTCTGCCAAAGTTTAGGAGGAACATGCTGGCTTCACTCTGAAGATGAATGCAATACAGTTCTGTGAAATGCTGATAAACATCTGTGTTCTATCCTGAAGGTAGAGGCCGTATGTTCCCCTGAAATGTCGGTCAACTTCTATCTGTGACGTGCAATCACGTAATCTCCAAACTAAATTCATTTCTCCATAATAACATGTACCTTCTAACTTATGTTGTCCCCTTCAAAATAGTCCCCTTGGGACTTCATACATTTGGCCTGGTGATTATGCCACCATTCAGAATGTGGCGTATGTTTCTTGTCTGGGCGTATACACCTTCGGTGCGTATGATATGTTCTACACTGACAGTATAGAACACACTGTACATGCAATGTGGCATATGTTTCTTATATATGAGTATGATACATAGCATTGGAATACCATACAAAATATCCACATACCACCAAACTTGTACATCATTGAAAAACGTGTCTTTGGGCCTCATATACCGGGCTTATGACGTAGAATTTCTGCAACAAGACATGTCCAATTTCTACTCTGTAGCAGGATATCCCCTTACAATAAATATTTTATTTGGCATACAGACCCCTAACCCACCTACATATAGTTGTTAACACCTTTATATACTTCTAATATACCTTTAATGCTTTTAATAATATTTCAACATTTTATGTATAGTATACCTTTATTTACTTCTATCTTTTTATCTGTTATTCTTAATCATAATGTAACGTGTTTCGTTACTGAATACGCTGTAGAGATCGTTAATTGGTTTATTTAACAACCTACAAATCACGGCTAAAATTAATTATAACATAGTTGCGGGTTTCCACACTTTACAAACCCTACAACCAAAGTCTTCACATACTAATAACGTGGGAGCTATACAAATCTCCCTGAATTACACACTCCAAATATAACTGTACTACAGCACTCACTAAGTCTTGAAAGCACACAATAAGTCTTCCGCTCGCTGACTTCTTAGTTATTGCACACTGTCACATAAAATCTTGTAACCACGCGTTCGGGCCTTCTTATCGCGACTGCTGCTATATGTCAACTCGACTCACAGGCTGTTACCTTGAGAACTGTTGATAACACACTCTGACTCGTAGGCTTGCTTGGAACTAACTGTGAATAGCCTTCGCTGCTCCTTATGTACCCTCGTTCCGGACCATTGTCGTCTGGTGCCGTGTTGCTAGCAACGCTGTCCGGAGTTGTTGACTGCTGCCTAGCAACCGCGATATCACTTGGTGACGTCACCGCTGTTGACTTGCTTTGCATAGCTACCAGGTTGCGGGGACTCAGCTAACTTCGGCTCCACTTGGCTCACTTCGGCTCCGCTCAGCACGTCACCACGGGGAGAGTGGCGGGGTGATGACTCGCCTATTACGAGAGCGCTACGTTACCACCACGTGCCGCTGGGGAGGTAGGGGTCCTCCATTGGGCAACATGTCACACTGCTCCCTTCTTAAGGCTGTTCGTCCCGAATAACCTAACGGTGCTTCCCCCGTTCCTTTTCTTTGGAGTCTGTTCTTGCAGCATCTTCTTTGTGTCCTGCTACTGTTTCTCTTCTCCCCGTTGCTCTGCTCTCCAACTGCTTCATCTTCCCCCTTTTTATGGTTGCTCGTCTCGAGCAGCTCCATGATAAGGCGCGAGCTGGTCGAGGTGTACAACTAACATCCTCGACCTAGGGGTCTTCTGGATTCGGTATACCACATCATTTATCCAGGTCACTACTTTGTAAGGACCTTCCCATGATGCTTGTAGTTTCGGCGATTTCCCCTTT